ATGATTTGTTCTTATTGATGTCAATAAATAATTAGATTTTATTATTTAAATATTCCGCTTATTGCATTCAAACTTCGATATTTTGATGGTATCGGTGGCTTCAACTATCGAAAGTTTTACTCTAGCAAATTCAGATGAGAATTGTCAGTGCTTTTTGATCGTGGCTCATCGCTGCACGGCATTGACACGAGTGCCGTGTTTCATATTCCGAGTTTGTGCGTGACCGTATTGACTCAATATGACACGAAAAGGCTCAAATGTGAATTTAAAATTAGGATATACCCTTATAATTATTCCCCCTTTTTTGCAAATCGTCTATCTTAAAACGTTGCGTTATCTCTATATATAAAACAGTTTGTCCTGACTAATTGGTGATCAACGCACAGCCCAAACGGTAAAAGATGAAATTTGGACTCAAGTATCTTTTCATAGTATCCATCATAGTGTAGGAGCACACTAAGAAAGGCTTTTGGAAAATTCTAGCTCCAACGGGGGGAAAACGAGCTTTAAAAAATATTAGTTATAGTGGTCATGTTCGTTGAACGAAATAGTTTGGCAAGAACAAAAATGTAACGGACTACTGAACAATTTTTTGTCAAGAACAGAAAATGTTCATTTAAATACCTTAAATGCCTTCCTACTGGTAAATTATAAGGTGAAAACATATGGGTAGGTTATGCACACACAAAATAAATACAATTGGAAACATTATATTGAGCCGGGTTAAGACGGGCAATACCTGCTAGTACATGCATATATGTATATATGTATACATTTGAGCATACACACAATTTTGTATGGGTTTTTCTACATATGAACATATGCATGTATGTATGTACAAGTGCAGTTATTATTATAAATACAAATTTATGTGTACTATTTACATACATACAATCCTCAAGAATTCGCACATTTGTATCATATTTCTTACTTACATACATACACAGGTCAACATATTAAATCGTCCAAATAGATAGTTTAAAGATCTTTATACTTTTACAATCCTGTACGTTTAATATTATACTTTATACTTTGCTTTCCTTCAATCATCTATTTATAGCAAAATTGGCTTTTATTAAAAGTGGACGATTTAAAATTTAGCGTAGACACTCATTTGATTGCAACTCTACAAATTGCGTTTTAATCAGAGCATTTGGTATAGCGACTGACAGCCGCCAACTGCCATGTGGACGATACCCACAAACTGCTGCATCAAGTTTACTCTTCTTCTTCCTTTTTCTTCTGCTAGAGGCGCATATAGCTCAGTTTCGGAAGTTTGCCTGTGTAGAGGGTATTACTGTCGGGTTTGCTCAACTGTAGCGTTATCTCTTAATTAATCAAATTTTACAAATTCAACTGCAAAATAAAGATGTTTTTTGAAGTCACTTGAATAAAAACACTTATTAATTATATTTCAATATTGAGAAAAATAAATAACAACATGGATGTTTTGGATATTTAATGATGAGTCTATAATATTCATAATGTTTCACTAATGTGTGCATCCATCCTTTTTTAATGTACCTTGGTATGTACGACTTTAGAGAGAATCATAAATGCTAACGTAGTTACTATAAGATAAATTTCTGACTAGGTTGCTTTAAAGGCATTTCGAAGCACCTCCTTCCTGCTTTTCCGGAAAGCCAGTACAAAAAATGTCTTCACCAGAACTTTTTTGCAAATCAGTTAGAAATTGAAGTTCACAACTTTTATAAAACGACTAGCAGGTATTGCCCGTCTTAACCCGGCTCAATATAATGTTTCCAATTGTATTTATTTTGTGTGTGCATAACCTACATATGCTTTCACCCTTTAAGTTACCAGTAGGAAGGCATTTAAGGTATTTAATTGAACATTTTCTGTTCTTGACAAAAAATTGTTCAGTAGTCCGTTACATTTTTGTTCTTGGCAAACTATTTCGTTAAACGAACATGACCACTATTACTAATATTTTATAAAGCTCGATTTCCCCCCTTTGGAGCTAGAATTTTCCAAAAGCCTTTCTTAGTGTGCTCCTACACTATGATGGATACTATGAAACGATACTTGAGTCCAAATTTCATCTTTTACCGTTTGGGCTGTGCGTTGATCACCAATTAGTCAGGACAAACTGTTTTATATATAGAGATAACGCAACGTTTTAAGATAGACGATTTGCAAAAAAGGGGGAATAATTATAAGGGTATATCCTAATTTTAAATTCACATTTGAGCCTTTTCGTGTCATATTGAGTCAATACGGTCACGCACAAACTCGGAATATGAAACACGGCACTCGTGTCAATGCCGTGCAGCGATGAGCCACGATCAAAAAGCACTGACAATTCTCATCTGAATTTGCTAGAGTAAAACTTTCGATAGTTGAAGCCACCGATACCATCAAAATATCGAAGTTTGAATGCAATAAGCAGAATATTTAAATAATAAAATCTAATTATTTATTGACATCAATAAGAACAAATCATATACATACATACATACATCTGCCCGCAATGCGAAGCAGAATATACGTAGCTCCGTTATTCGGTTTCTGCTTTACTATCGCTTACGCAGTCGTTGCTTAGCGGTAACTGTAAACTTTTGGCGTTTTGCCTTTGCAATTAACATTAAATGGTCAAAACGAAAGAAGATGTGCGAGCCAACAACTTAAAGTTGTTGTTGTTGTTTTGTATGTACATGCTACATACATATACAGGCATACATGCATATGCATGTACATATGTATGTATGCATGGGCACACATAGACACGAACTGTTGCTTGTTGTATGCATGTGTGAGTGTGTGTATGCGATGTCCCCAACTATTTGATATTTGATATATGGCAAGTAAAAAACATATTGCTATATTTTAATCGTTGAATGCCAATTTGTTGATATAATGTTGATTACATTACCCAAATTTGAAATCGATCGGACAAAATTTATAACACAAACTATTCATTTGAAAAAGTGAATAAATATTAAAACCCCAATAATAAAATTAAATGCGATATATCGAAAATATCGATACTTGTGTTGATATATCGTAATACATGTCGAATACAAATACATCGAAAAACATCGTTTGAGAGTTATTGATTATAATACTGTATTCGATTGTTCACTGTACACATATGTACATACATACATACAAATGTATTTGTGTGTGTACGGTAACTGTAAACTTTTGGCATTTTTCGTATGCAATTAACAGCCGTAAATTATCAAAACGAAAGAAGTTTTGCGAGCCAATAACTTGTTGTTGTTGTTTTAAAAATTTTGATTTGAAAACATAGAACACTATTTATTACAATTAAACAACAGTGTTCGATGGCCCACTGCATACATACAAACCTATATATGTATATAAGAATGTATGTACGTACATACATACTTATTGATGTACATATGTACATACTATACATACAGACGTATGTATATATGTATGTACGTATGTAATACATATGGTGCTGGTGTAATTCATAATGCGAAATTCTTTCTAAGGGGAGCAATGTCCCCCCTACCCAACCTGCGTACGCCCTTGTAGTCCGTTGTCCTAAAATCCCTTATGCCAAATGTACTAAACAAAGAAAAAATAACATAAAAATGTTTATGTTATAATGTTAATAATTTTTAATTAATTAACATTTCTTGCCCTGTCAGTGCAAGACGAATGTACTTTTATACATATGTATGTATGTATATATGTACATACATTTGTACAAATGAACATTCACACATTAGTGTCTCACATTTTGCTTTGGCTACTTCCGTTTGCACGCAACTACACGAACAGCTGCTGGTATATATGTATGTGTGTGTGTATGTATACTTAGTTGTCCCCAACTGTTTGATATTTTGTATTGTTTGTTCTGTCTGCATTTGTAAAATGCATATTTTAAAAATCGTTAAATGCAAAGTTGTAATTTTAGTTACGTAGATTATATTACCCAAATTTGAAATCGATCGGACAAAATTTATAACACAAACTTTTCATTTGAAAAAATGAATAAATATTAAAACCCCAATAATTCAAGCTCCAACACAAATTTCGAAAAACCGAGTATGCAGTTTTGTTTGTATTCTTTTATAGATTATAAAAACCAAATTTAAAGTTGATCGATTCAGAAATGCAGAATTTTCAAACAAACTTTGGAGCTACTTTTCCCCCCTTTGGAGCTCGAATTTTCCAAAATCCCTTCTTAGTGCGCATCTACACCATGATAGGATACTTGAGTCCAAATTTCAGCTTCCTAGCCTTTACCGTTTGGGCTGTGCGTTGATCACCAATCAGTCAGTCAGTCAGGACAAACTGTTTTATATATATAGATGTATCTCCGTAGACGACAACACCGTCTTGGCGACTTTGATGTTTCTCCATAATTTTTTTAATCGTAAAAAAAGTTTACATTCCGATTTCAGGTCATATAGTTGCGCGCAGAAACCCAACGAGCTGTTCATACTTCAAAAGCTACAAAAAAAAAAAAAAAAAAAAAAAAAAAAAACAATCTTTGCACACGTAATCGTTATACAAATATCTACTTTTCTTTCAAATTTCATCCAAATCGGTTAATAAAACATATATCTGTCAAACCTGACATCAAAGCGATCGAAAGACTAATAGTATCATGTTCTTATTTTAATGACGCGCTATTTTTGAACGAGCTGCAATCAAAGCAATCTGCAAAAATAAAGGTGCATTTTTGCGTTCTGTATTTGTGAGCCAAAAATGGCTAAAAAAAAAACGGTAGTATTAAAAAGTTAGAAACCAAAGAAATTTGTATTAAAAATACAAGTATAATGGGGAAAACTGAAAATAATCTGAACTCAATTATGTTCTTATTCAAGTAACGACCAGTGTATGTATTAAATTGTTCTACAACACCGGAATGTTGTTTTAGAATACATATCTAATAGAGACTACTTTGAGTAAGCATTTTGTTTAGCTTCCCAAAAAATAACATATATAATTCTAATTATTATTATTTTTTTGTGATAGATGATCTCTTTTCTGAAGAAGAATCAGTTCGTAAGCCTGACAATGACAATACCAATGATAATGATGAGGAATTCATCCCGCCCGAACGCAAGCGCCGGAGCAGTAAGTTTGAAATTACCATTATTTAAAGAACAGAATATACAATAGACTCTAGACTGTTACAAATTTTTATATTAGAAAAATTAACTTTTTCGTACATAATATGCAGCATTTCAATTATCATTTTTAAGGTCTTCTCACTACTGGCCTTTAATGGACACCATGTATATAGGGGTCGATTTTACAGTAATTTGCCTATGTAAAAAGACGAAACGTTTTTGAGATACATTATTTATTTATTAAAAATGTTTTCATTTATTCAGTATAATAGTGTTTATCGGTTGGCCTCATTTAATTAAACTCATTTTGTCTACGCCACTAACCTTCAGCAACGTGGTCGCTCTTTTTTTGCCTTCGATATGCGCGAAACAACGCATATAACATAATGGAAGTTTTTTTTTTGTGTATAGGGTATGCCACTATCGGGCTTGCTCAACTGTAACATTCTCACTGGCTTAAGCAAAAATTAAATGTGTTTATATCTTTTATTTAACAGATGCTGATGAACAAATACATACTGAATTTATAAACGAAGACTTGAATATACTTAGTAAGTAGCCCATTTGCACTAGTTAATTATTTGTTTAATTTTCCGTTCACCGTTCACGTTGAAATTCAATTTCGTCAATACTGTCTACATTTCAAAAGCTACATAATCCAAACTTTGTACACATAATCTATATGCAATTTTGTTTTTAATTTCATCCAAGTCGGTTTATTCTCCCGTTTAATTTTTAATTAAAACAGTATTTTTGTTTTCGTATTAACTTAAGATTCTTCCGAATTAGCTGATGGGACTTTCCAAACTGAGAGTTCAAGATTCGTTAGCGGCTTTACAGACGAACTTAATGAACTTGGCTCCAATTGGCCAGACTCTACAATGCAGTCTAATGATAATTTTCGAACATCTACAAATGAAAACATAAATGATTCGTCCATAAATAATAGTATATCTATTTCTACTACTGAAACTCCTCTTTATGATTTAAAAGACCTATTTATACCATGTTCTACACAAAAAAAAAATGCAAACAACATTTTTGTAAGTTCTGCAAAACTTTGCAGACAAAATTTGCTCGTCATCTTGAGGCCAAACATAAAAATGAGCAGGAGGTAAAAAGTTTTCTAAGATACCCAAAAAGTGGACCTGAGCGTAAACATATGATTGATAAAATAAGAAAAGAAGGTGATTTTTTGCATAATACCGACGATATATTGAACACCGGTACTTTAATTGTTCCTCGACAAAAAGGAGCTAACTCTACTCTCCGACCAAAAGATTTTATTACCTGCACATTTTGCCGAGGATTTTTCCCAAAATCTACCATTCGATTTCATATACGAAATTGTTCAAGCAACTCCTATAAAAAAGGAACTCGCGATACTATACGAAATGGACGAAAAGTGACAGGTTTTATGCATAAACAAGCTAACGACATTTTACGGCGCCAAGTTATGCCCTATTTTAAGGATGATGAAATATCTGACACTGTTTTATACGATCGACTGATTGTTTTATATGGAAACTTTGAGTGTCAGAAGCGGGAAAAGTTTCAGCATGAAATGATACGGCAAAACATGAGGTCTCTGGGTCGCCTTCTAATTTGTCTTAAAGAGAATTGCAACGAAATAAAGGATTTGGAGGATGCCATTCTTCTCAAACACACAGATATAATTGTCCAAAGTATACGAATAGTTGCCAAATGGGATAATGAAGCTTTGAAATTCCTTCCTTAACTACAAAATTAACTACACTAATTAAAAAAACTGCGAAGATTTTGTGGGCGGAACACGTTAAAGAGGAAAATCAGGAAAAACGACAATCTGTCAACGATTTTATAAAGTTATGGGAGCATGACATATTTATAAATATCAACAAAAAAGCTGTTGAAGATTAATTTACCAAAAGACGCGCCGCTAAAATTATACTTCCTACTAAAGAAGACATTAAAATACTGTTCGAATATGTCAAAGAAAAAGCTACAGAAGCTGTTAAGTTCTTAAAAAATACTTAATGTGTTGAAACTTGGTCTGTGCTGGTACAAAGCACTTTAGTAAACTTGCTCATTTTCAACCGTCGACGGGTTGGTGAATTAGAGAGATTAACTGTGGAAATTTATAAAAGTGCGCAAGCCATAAATGAAAAGGTGGATAATTTCAATAAACTAACAAAAAACAAGAGAGAACGCTACAGTCGAGCAAGCCCGACAGTGTAATACCCTGTACCCAGGTAAACTTCCGTCACTGAGTTATATGCGCCCATAGCAGCAGCAAAAAGAGGAAGAAGAAGAGCGAACTCGTTGCTGCAGTTTGTGGGGGTTGTACTGTAGAGAATTTGTTTCGCTAATAACTTTTCACAGAATTGACCGAATTCGATTAAATTTTAAACAACAGTAGACAATTATATATAAATTATGTGTGCAAAGTTTGGTTGAGGTAGCATTTGAAATGTGGACGCTATTGACGAAATTCTGTAGCGGGGGGAGGGGGGGAAAATTAAAAAAAAAAAAATAAACTCGTCCTTACTCGGACCTAGGAGAATCTGGATGCCAACTTTGGTTATATAAAGCTTTTATAGTTTCTGAGATCCTCGCGTTCATCCAGACGGACAGACGGACGGACAGACGGACGGACATGTCTAGATCGATTTCTCTCGTCATGCTGATTCAGAATATATATACTTTATGGGGTCGGAGATGCTTCCTTCTGTATGTTACATACTTTGCACAAACCTAATATACCCTTTTTACCCTACGGGTACAGGGTATAAAAATCCACATTTCGATTGATTAATTGACTTAAAACTAGCTTTCTAAAATCAAAAACAGAATATAAATAAAACTGCATACTCGGTATTTTGAAACTTGTCTAGGACACACAGACTGAATTATGGGGCAAAAGGAAACTACGTCAACAGCCCACAGCCCACAGCCCAAACCGTAAAAGCTAGGAAGCTGAAATTTGGGCTCAAGTATTCTATCAAAGGATTTTTAAAAATTGTAGCTCCACAGGGGGGAAAACGAGCTGTAAAGTTTGCTTGAAAAATCCACATTTCGATTGGTTAATCGACCTAAAACTAGGTTTCTAAAATCAAAACAAGAAAGGAATGCTAAAGTCGAGCAGGCTCAACTCTTAAATACCCTGTACCACCCCACAAAAAAGTAATTTAATTAATTAATTAATTAAATTAAATTAATTAACTAAATTAATTTAATTAATTAACTAAATATTAACTAATTAAATATAAAATATTCCATGCATGCATACATACATTTACATTTACATCAGAATCGTGCCTTATGCGTGTTTGTGTACTCGTACATATGTATGTATGTGTGCATTGGGCCTGGTTATATGGCTATAACTTTCTTTTCGATCATTTTATCATAATGAAACTTGGTATACGGATATATAATTACTAACCTAATGTGACTACCAAATTTTAGCTCAAAATTCCAAGAATTACGGGAGTTATAGAAAATCAGTAATAGGGGGGGAGTGGGGGGGCGGATCAGAAAAATGAACAAACTCGTCCTTTCTCGGTCTCAGGAGAATCTGTATACCAAGTTTGGTTATTCTAGCTCTTATACTTTCGGAGATCCTTGCGTTCATACAGACAGACAGACAGACGGACAGACGGAACAGACTGACAGACGGACAGACGGACAGACGGACAGACGGACATGGCTATATCGACTCGGCTTGTCATGCTGATCAAGAATATATATACTTTGTGGGGTCTACCAAGCCTCCTTCTGTGAGTTCCATGTGCACTCGCACAAAACTAATATACCCTTGTACCCTTTGGGTACAGGGTATAAAAAAAAAACACAAGAATTTGCAAAGCAGTACACAAGGGTAACAATTCGAGGTAAACTTGGCAGAACTGTATCAGTTCTTTTAACGCCATTTGACCATGTTTGCATTGATACCATACTGGACAATCGCAAAAAAGCTGGAATAAAAAATAAAATATATGTGTTCTGCTCTGCAGATTCCGCAAAGGAATACATAAGAGCATGTCCCATATTAAAAAAATTTGCTGAAGAATGCGGTGCTTCTAACCCACAAGCTTTAAGAGGCACTATGTTGCGTAAACATTTAGCAACATATACTTCATTGTTAAATGTCGCAGATTCTCAAATTGATCGCCTAGCAGGTTTTATGGGTCACAACAAGGATATTCATAACAAGAAAGGAATGCTAAAGTCGAGCAGGCTCAACTCTTAAATACCCTATACCACCCCACAAAAAAGTAATTAAATAAATTAATTAATTTAATTAAATTAATTAACTAAATTAATTTAATTAATTAACTAAATATTAACTAATTAAATATAAAATATTCCATGCATGCATACATACATTTACAATTACATCAGAATCGTGTCTATGCGTGTTTGTGTACTTGTACATATGTATGTATGTGTGCATTGGGCCTGGTTATATGGCTATAACTTTCTTTCCGATCATTCTATCATAATGTGCACATGGATATATATACGGATATATAATTACTAACCTAATGTGACTACCAAATTTTAGTTCAAAATTCCAAGAATTACGGTTGTTATAGAAAATCGTTAATAGGGGGGGGAGTGGGGGGGTGGATCAGAAAAAATTAACAAACTCGTCCTTTCTCGGTCTCAGGAGAATCTGTATACCAAGTTTGGTTATTCTATCTCTTATACTTTCGGAGATCCTTGCGTTCATACAGACAGACAGACAGACGGACATGGCTATATCGACTCGGCTTGTCATGCTGATCAAGAATATATATACTTTGTGGGGTCTACCAAGCCTCCTTCTGTGTGTTCCATGTGCACTCGCACAAAACTAATATACCCTTGTACCCTTTGGGTACAGGGTATAAAAATATTTATAGAGTCAATGCAGCTTATGATGAAATAACACAAGTCTCACAATTATTAATGGCTGCACTTAATAGTGATAATGCTGATAATGATGAAAATGACCCTAATAGTATGTATTACCTTCTTAGTAGAATTATTTATAAATAATTTTATTCCACATCAAGCCCTAATCACTATTAACTCGTAATTGCCATTTAATAAAACCTAAGCTGTCAACTCATCATCTTTGAACACTATTATTTTAACACCAGAAACAACTTATGTTGACCTAATATGTGTACTAATGTGTGTATTAATGTGCTGACCTTAATTGTGGTCGGACAGTGTCGTCCTTGTTTGAGTTTGTTATTTTGTAGTTTACTTAGCTTTAGTAATAATATACTTACCCTCTAAAAGCTATTCTAGAACGACCCTAGGCATAAGCTTCAAATTAAATTCCGAAAATCTTTTTTATACCCCGTACCCGTAGGGTAAAAAGGATATATTAGGTTTGTGCAAAGTATGTAACAGGCAGAAGGAAGCATTTCCGACCTCATAAAGTATATATATTCTTGATCAGCATGAGGAGAGAAATCGATCTAGACATGTCTGTCCATCTGTCTGTCCGTCTGTCTCGATGAAACTATAAAAGCTGGAATAACCAAAGTTGGTATCCAGATTCTCCTATGTCCGAGAAAGGAGGAGTTTATTTTATTTTTTTGAAATTCCCTCCCCTTCCTCCGCTACAGAATTTCGTCAATACTGTCTACATTTCAAAAACTTCATAAACCAAATTTTGCACACGCAATATAATTAACTACTTTGGTTTCAAATTTCATCCCATTCGGACAATTCTAAGAAAAGTTATTAGCGAAACAGTGTCGCTCCAGTACTTCGCCTCCAAGCTGCAGCATCAGGTACGCTCTTCTTCTTTTTGCTGCAGCTAGGGGGCGCATATAGACCAATGTCGGAAATTTGCCTGGGTACAGGGTATTACACTGTCTGTGCTCGACTGTAGCGTTCTCTCTTGTTTTATATTAAATTGGCTAAGGCTGTTTTATTGGTAATAATATTGTTATTAACAAAATGTTTTTAAATTAATTGTCCTTGTGTTATTTTATACGAAGATCTCGACTGCTATTAATGTACAGAAAGTTACAAATAACCGATTCATAAAATAATAAGTATAAACTAAAAATATATTTCGAACAAATTTTTTACGTAGATGTAGCGCTTTCTGATGACGAAAACTTCCAGCCCGCAAATAATGACATAAATGACATAAATGATGAGGAGTATTGCCCGCAAAAACCTCTCGGTAAATTTCTATTAGTATTTTTTTAAACCCTGTCTTAACCCAGACAGATCCAGTTTGTTCATTTCGTTTCGTTTCTGATGCACCCCCACTCCCAAGCAATTAGATATTTTTTTTTTCATATACTTTTCAGAAAAATACAAGATAGAACGCTACAGTCGAGCAAGCCCGACAATAAAATAGAGTAAAGCTCTCCACAAAATAGGAAAATTTAAATAAATGTATTTTAACAAATTTAATTAATTTAAATAATTAATTAAATTAAATATAAAATATTCAACACATGCATACATACATACAAAAGTGTTTATGTACAATTTCAATAGAATAAATTTACATCAGAATCGTGTCTTTGCGTGTTTATATGCGCGTATGTGTATGCAGCACAAAGTTGACACACAATCACTAACTACCAAATTTTAGTGCAAAGTTCCAAGAATTACGGGAGTTATAGAAAATCGCGAATAGCGGGGGGGGGGTGCGGGGTTATTCTAGCTCTAATATTTTCTGAGATCCTTGCGTTCATACAGACAGACAGACAAACGGATAGACGGACATGGCTATATCGACTCGGCTTGTCATCCTGATCAATAATATACTTATATACTTTATGGGGTCTGCCACGCCTTTTACCCTTTGGGTATAAAAACACACCAAAAATAAATGCATTATTTTTCTTTTTGTGTTAGATGATGATCTCCTTTCTGAAGAAGAAAATGTTTGTAAGCCTGACAATCACAATACCAACAAGTAAAAAAGCTAAAGTCGGGTGTCCCGACTTTGAAATACTCTGTACATATGTTTACAATAATTACAGAAAAAAAAAAATAAGAAAATTTAAAAAAATTTGATCGATTTTACCTTTCTCGGTATTCGAACTCACGTAAAGGGTATGTAATTGCACATATACAAAGCAATTGCGTCTATGTGAGTGTATGTATGTTTATGTGCGTCTATTTGTGTCTGTGTAAGCATTTTCGCAGTCAACTAAACAGCAACATCAACAACAGCTGTGGGCAGCGCTTGGGCAGCGCTTGAGCAGCGCTGCAGCAGCAAATATATTTATGGCTATAACTTCTTGTTAAATCGGTCTATCATAGTGACACACAGACACATAATAACCAACTGGGGGTATTTACAAAATTTTAGTTCGAAATTCCAAGAATTACGGGAGTTAGAGAAAATCGCATTTGCGGGGGAGAGAGGGAAATTCCAAAATATACATTTTCTGCGTATTCATACAAGGCATCTTGGACTAAAATTTGGTGTTCCTAGGTCTTATAGTCTCCGAGATATAGGCGATTATACGAATGGAAAATCGGGAAAACCCCCATAGGGGAGAAGTGGGGGGGAAAATCAAAAAAATAAAACAAACTCGTATAGCGTACACACATAAGGCATCTTTGTGCAAAATTTGGTGTCTCTAGCTTTTATAGTCTCTGAGATCTAGGTGATCATACGGACGGACGGACGGACAGACAGACAGACAGGGCTAGATCGACTCGTCTCGTCATGCTGATCAAGAATATATATACTTTGTGGGGTCTGCCACGCCTCCTTCTGCCTGTTACATTTTTCAGCTCGCGCAAACCTAATATACTCTTGTACATTTCATGTACAGACTATATTACGCCCATACCTAAGCGCCGAAGCAGTAAGTTTGAAATTACCATTATTTATGTACAGTAGCCGCTAAACTGTAACAAACTATTATTGTATATCTATAAGATTAATTTTTTCGTATTATAACCCAGAACATGCATTATAGTCATATCATTATAATAATCACTTTTACACATTCAGTACTGGTCGATGGTAACCATATTCAGGGAATCGATATTTAGGAAATTGGCCTGAGTAAGAAGAAATTTTTTAAATTCCATCAGAAAAGTATTTAAATGAAATCTATTTTGACCTCGTCGTTTCTTTAATTTTAGAAAAATATAATACCCACAGGGCAGAAGAATGAAAAAGATGTAAAATTCATTCGAAGTCATGACGACTATGCAGGCAAGGCTTATTGAAAACAATTTTTTCCTTGCTATATGCAGTTAGTTTTGTATTAAATCCAGAAGAGATCTATCCAGTAACTCATAATACATTCATCTTTTTTTCAGCAGAAAATATCTTGGGTCTTTTCTGAGCTATCCAATATAATCTTGCCTAATAGCATCATACAGCAGTTTTCTAGATCTGTCCAGTACAAGCCTTCAAAATGTTGACAATTTTTTTTGCATTTGAGAACAGAATTGCCTAAAATCATTTCAGTTTTCTAACTGACAATTTGTACTACGCTTACAAAGTTACGAATTTGTAATATTCAATCCTACAACTGTTGGTTGTATATTTTCTAATTTATTGAGCACAGTTATTTTATAAGTATTGAATATACTTAAGTAAAAATTTTGTAGGTCCGGTCACCTTTATTATTTACACATTCAATTTTAATTTTTGATCTTTTCCAGGGTCGCCCACTGGTTTTATAAAACGGGTACGTTGGACGAGAGAGGAGCGTTTTGAAATGATGAAAGCGTTCGGTAATGCAAAAACCATGAAAGATCTGCCGTCCCTCAAACAGTGCAACAACGTAATTAAAAACTCTACATATTTGAAAAATCGTTCTGCGGCGCAGCTGAAGACATGGTTAGATAACCAGCGGAAAGCTGAGGCGAGAAAGCACATGTAATGCTAAGAATATTGATTAAATTTCGTTTCTTTTTTGAAAGCACATATAATGCTAAGAATTATGATTAAATATCGTTTCTTTTTTGTAATAAACAATAAAATTTATATACCACACATATGTACGAAATCTATATTATCCAAGTATTAAGTACAAGTAAGACTAGATACAAGTATTCTTTTAGAAATATAAAATATTGGCATATGTAAAAAAGCGTTCAAACTATTATTTGCGGCGCATCTGAGGAAAGCTGAGGCGAGAAAGCACATGTATGTAGGATGGATTGTACTACCGTTTATTGGTAAATGCAAATCAATCAAGTATATAATGAATATAATATATAGAGCAGTTAAGAGAATAGTAAAAGTTCAACGCGACTAATACAATTGTGCAAGTTTACAACGGTTATTAAGATTAGACGACGGCTGGTCACTGAAACGACTGACGGCTGAAACGACTGACTGCTGCTCTTCAATACGGCACGACTGCTGACGACTTTATTACACGACCTGCTGATGACTTGCTGCCACGAACTCTCGTTGACGACTCTCTTCACACTCTGCTTCTGCTGTATCGGGATGCCATCTTGCTGCTATAGGTGCCTGGTTGCCACCTTACACTCGGCCATCCTGCTCTTCATCTGTCTCAGATGAATCTGTATCGGCTTCTTCGTCCTGTGTTTGCTTTTGGTAGCGCCACAACTTCATAAAGTCGGCGCTGGTTATTGTCAGCTGGGGCCCCTGAAAATCAGAAACTTTTTTGACTTCATACCTTCCGTTACGTTTCATCTTGACAACGTCGTATGGGCCGATATATTTGTTTGCCAACTTCTTGCCGGTAACGAATTGGGTGACCTTAATTGCCACAAGATCGTGTAGCTGATAGCCATGATGACCTTTGCGCCTCTTGTCAAAGTTGTTTTTATAGGTCTCTTGCGCCTGCTGTATCTGCATCTTAACATCGTTTCGGATTGTGATACGCTCGGTTTGTAGACCCATAATAAATTCCTCTTCCAATATTTTGATAATTTCGGTATCTGCTTCACAACGCATTTTCACTCCAAACATAACTTCAAAAGGAGTATACTTTGTTGACGAGTGTACATGCGCGTTGATAGCCTGTTGAACTTTTGACGTGTACTTGTACCATTTGGTCGGCTCTGCTGCTGATGTCTTTGCCAATACTGAGAGAATGACTCTATTCACTCTTTCGATTTGGCCGTTACCCCTGGGAACACCTGTGGTCGTTTCCACGTGCTCGATCTTATTCGCTGCGCAGAACTCCTTAAACATCTTCGAAGTGAATGCAGCACCTTTATCGCTTATTATGCGCTGCGGACTGCCGAATATGCTGACCCAGGACTCGACGTGTTTAATGACCTCTTGTGCATCTGTCGACTTTGTGGGGTATATCCAAGTGTATTTAGAGAACCCGTCTACCATCGCAAATATGTACTTATAATTTTTTGTTGTAGAGTCCAGCGTGCCCAAGTGATCGACATGTAGGGTAGCCAATGGACTATCTCCTTTATCGATGCAATGCAGGAAGTCGTCCTGCTTGCCCAGCTTTCTATTGTGTATGATGCACTCTACACAATTTTCGATTAACTCTTTGACCTTTTTTTCCATGTGCGGCATATAAAAATCTTGACGTATTGAGTGCATTGTTTTTTGAACACCCATATGTCCGAAATTGTGAGCGCTCCTTATGATTTCTTTTTCCATACTTTTTGGTAAAGCCAGTAAATCTTGACCTTCCATCTGTTTGTATACCAAACCATTTTTAAGTTTATAATCTGCATAAGGTTTTGTTTTTATTATCTCTGCTACGGCTGCTAGATGTTGGTCCTTCTGTTGCGCTCGTGCTATTTGCGCGTGAACTTCCGTTGATATGACCATAATTGGGTATCGGCTGAGACTGTCGACGTGCTTCATTCTGTTGCCTGCTCGATGCTCGATCTTGAACTGGAAGTCTTGTAGGTACATAAGCCACTGAACAACTTCTCGGGGTACTTCTTTCTTGGAGTTTGTCTGCTTAAACGCGGCGCAATCAGTCACTAAGTCGAACTTGATTCCCATAAGGTAGTGACGTAGTTTTCTCATAGCTAAATATGCGGCTTTTACCTCCAACAGATAACTGTGCAACTTTTCTTCTGACGGCGATGTTTTCTTACTCCAGTAGAATACGGGGGTACCACTTATTTTCATGCTGCTGCAATAAAGTTGCGCCGAAGCCGTCTTTGGATGCGTCGACATGCAACTGTGTTTTGACATTCTGATTGAATATTTTCAGCACCGGCTCCGTTGTTAATGCCAACTTTAGCTTATCGATCGCTTGCAATTGTGGGCCCTCTATTTTAAATTCGGCATCCTTTTTTAACAACTCGGTTAGCGGCCTAGCTAGAACGGCATACTCCTGTACAAATTTTCTAAAGTATCCAGTTAGTCCAAGGAATGCTTGAATACTTCTTATATTTTTAGGCAACGGAAAATTTTTAACTGCTTTCAACTTTTCTTGTCCTGGTGACACAGAATCATTTTCAACAACGTGGCCAAGGAATGAAATTTTCGATTTGAAAAATTGGCATTTGGACCAGTTTATTTCCAAACCATACAGCTCTGCCTGTTTTAAAACGGTACGCATGTTCGTTAGACATTGTTCAGCGGTGTTTCCAAAAATAACAATATCGTCTACGTATATCTCCATTATGCCATCATTTATCAGCTGTTGAAAAATATAGTTTATATATCGAACAAATACGGCTGGCGAGTTACAAAAGCCAAATGGGGCTTTATTAAATTCAAATAGACCCTCCTTCGTTACAAAAGCAGTAAATTTTTTACTCTGCTCGTCGACTTCAACATGGAAAAAGCCATTGTGCAGGTCCATGACTGTAAAATACCTGGCACTCTGCATTTTTTCAAGAACCTCTTCCACGATCGGAACTGGAAATCTATCTTTGGCAACTAGTGTGTTCAGCTTGCGAAAATCAATACAAAGCCTGTGCGAGCCATCTTTCTTTTTGGCCAGTATGACTTTGCTTGCT